ACTGACATCATAGTGAATAAGAATGTTGCTTAACTGAAAGAGTTATACACAAAACATGATTGTTTTAATTTTTTACGAAAGTTTTCCAACAGTTCTCCAACTGATTTAAACATCAAATTGCTTTCAATTAGTTTGCAATGGTAAACTACTATAAACCCTTTACTAAATGCATGTCCATACACAGCATTAGGCCATATCAGCTGGTACAAAACTCTTACCTTATGCAGTAGTTCAATTTCATACCCTAGTTGTGCAAGTACAGTAAGTGCTTGATAGATCTTTGACTTCCCAGGCTTTGCTGTTAATACCTAAAAAAATGGCAGAGCAAGAATTTTTGTTACAAAAACCAAGACTGTGTCTTTATCTAAGCAAAATTCACATATATATATATGTATATAAAAAACAACAAGAAATTCAGGTAAGTCTAAAATTCCAAGGTAAAGTTACATTAGGCCTCTAACATGTGCTTTGTGTTATTTTAATTTATCTTGTCAGAAGACAGGGCTAGAAGATGAAATATTTGAAGTATTTCTTCACAGCAGTTATTTGGATAACAGAACTATGTATGACTCTCCAGCATATACTTTCTGGTCCCTTTTAAGGCAGAGAAGTTTCACACAGAAGAGAAATAAGGATTAGATTTCATATAAAAACCGTAACTTTGGCAGAGTTATCAGTTTGCATTGATAAGATAATATTCCCAAGAAGACACACAAAGCAGAGTAAGTAAAACATTAGATGACCATGCTGACCATTAAGCAACTTGCAGAGTCATCACTCTCATCAATGTTATAAATCAAACAACTCTTAGGGCAACAAAAAAAGAAAAGCTTATGAATATTCTCAAAAAGGGCAAGGGAAGAAGTAAATTATAGCAGGAAGATTTAACTTTGTGTAATAGATTTACACAGTCTTGTCATATGATAAAAAGCAAGAACAACCAACAAAAAGGAGTCAAGAATGTCTAGTTAAAGAAAGTTCAAATAGCTTTTACTACACACTTCTTATGTAACAGAGTTCACATTATAACCAGAAAAGTTAATTAAAAAAAAAAACAACAAAAAACCCATGAAACAGGGACTGCCTTAAATGAAAAGGCTGCCCTGGATTTAGTAAAAAATCTGACCATTACAACATACCACACAAGTGAGTATTTCAGTGGTGTCCAAACTGGTATTTCACAGACAAATATACTTAAGACATTTAATTTTTTTTTCAGTGGGGCATTAGACACAACACTTGTGTGTAAGCAGACCTGGAAGTCCTTGTCTACTTCAAGTAATTAAAGGCTTATGACTCTGTACAAACCTCCCAGTTTCATGGGGCGGGGGGAGGAAAAAAAGTCATCCTTGAAGTACAGTTCTGGAATTTTGGGACAGCTTAAATTAGGAATATGTAATCTAGAAAAGGCTCTGCACTTTAGTGTATAGGGCATTAATGAAAAGGAGTGTAAATAATTGTATTTTGCTTCTATTCTTTTCAGTACTGCATACAAAACAACTCAAGCGGACAAGTGCATCTCACTGTATTGGTATTTAGTGACTTGGAATCCTCTTCACTTGCATTTTTGTGTTTTGAATTAAGTCTTCATTAACTACTACCCGCAACTAGTAAACAAACTTGTTGCAAAAGCATGGCACAGAATTTAATCACTTCACAATTTACCATGGAAAGCAGCTAGTCTGCTGCTGCATATACTTCTCAGGGACCAGTCTTCACATTTTTAAGATCCGTGGTTAAATGACAACAGAATGTTTCTTAATAGTGCTATCACTGCATAAAGCAGACAACTAGGAAACTGACAATACTGAATAATTCTGGTAGAAAAAAAATTCACTAGCAAAAGCATTAAGTATACAATACAAATTAATAGTGCTATCACTGCATAAAGCAGACAACTAGGAAACTGACAATACTTAATAATTCTGTAGAAAAAAAATTCACTAGCAAAAACATTAAGTATACAATATAAGTGGGTTTGTGTTCTGTGAAGCACTACACCTTCACTACCAGTAAAATGCCTTGCACATACCATGTACTCTTTTTCACTTATGAAGAGGTTGAGTTCTACTCTTCCGTATCTGTATATGGAACTGCATTCATACATGGCGAAAAGAAGTCTCCAAAGTCTGTTTCTTTCCAACTGTTGTGGTACGATTCCAAAAATTTTCAAAGGCACATCTGTTTCCCACAATAGCAAAAAGTATCTTTAAAATTCTGCAGTATGTATTAGACAATCTCATTAATTCTTATGTCCAAACTACAAAAAACTAAGCAAAGAAAGTCTGTGAGTTCATGTTGTTCAAGAATGAATACAATTCAAGCCTTAGTCAAAGCTAAGCCCAGTTTGCATTAGACAAAAACTTTGAATTACAAGAAAACACCTAATTATCTGATATTGCCATGGGGAGGGGGGGGAGGGGGTTCTGAAGCTATCATGAGTCTTAAGCAAAGCTGAAATGTAGAAAACCGCATCTATTAATCCAGCATGTGTATTAAACAGAACATATACCTCAAGCAAATCCCAAAGTTTTTGCCAAACTGCCTATGCACCCTTCAAACATATGTGTTTGTAACATGTGGGATTATAAACATATACCTGCCCTCCAAGGAACTGCTGCTACACCCAGGGTTTCAAAAAGTTTGTCAGAAGACACAGCAGGTGGTTTCAAAGCTCCCTTTGCCAAAGGATCCATTCTGAAGAAGTCACCATGAATCACCTTTAACTGCCCATCCAGGCTATCCTCTAGGGACTGAATAAAAATACCTTTAGTTGAAGAAATCTGGATACGGTAACTAGCTTTGCAAAACACCCAACCTGAACACAAAAATGCATTCAAGCATTACCTAAAATTGTTACCCAGTCAACAAGAGTCAAACCTCAGAGCTGCTTCTTACAGTTGATAAAAAGAACAGCTTCTTTCTTTCAGCTGATAAAAATAATTGCCCCCTTCATTGTGAAGTGCATTTTGACATTTTTTGTGCTCTTCAACTTGAGCTTTAAACCACATTCTTAAATTAGTAAGATGTTCTGCAATGTTTGTAAAAAGTCACACAAACTACTAAACTAAGTAAACAGCTTCTTTTAACAATTTGAAACTAGAATTCTTCATATTTGTGGAGAGGATTTTATACACATTTTAAGTCAGGTGAGTCATTGGTTCCAAACTAGCACTGTAATGCAAACCTTCTAGAGCAACTTCTGCAGCTCTGTGTCTGACCCCCTTTGAATTCATGCAAAGGCCAGGTGAGCAGCAGAGGACAACACATGTCAATTGTAGGAAAACAGATTAAATAAAACTGTGAGATAATCAGAATAAATAAAAAGTATTTTTACAAATTTTTTGCAGCTTCATACAGAACTCTAGCTTAAGCATAAACATCTACAATGGCTCCGATCAGTTTCAAATTTATGCATGAAATTTTATTTATGCATAGACTCTGTATGACCTTGAATTGCTACATACACAAAATGCCAAACTAATTTTAAAATATTCTGCATTTGTGATGTACAATGCCAAACTATATACTGTTATTAGGCATTATGTCAGATGTTGCAAGTAACAACCACTGCCTAATTCCTTTTTGATTGAACAATTACACAACAATTTAAGCTAATTTCTTATTTTCCCTTTAATTTTGTTTCAGAAACATGCAACTGAATCAAAGGTATACCTGTAAGTCTGTAAAAAAATCTGAGTTACTTTCCAGAGCTACCACTCTAAAACCTGCATCAAGCAGAGATCGAGTCAAAATCCCAGGACCTGATGTAGGAAAATAAAGAAAAAAACCCCAAAAATTAGGATCACATTTTTGTTTCATAGTGATTACCTTTAGTGATTTTTCCAACACAACACTTGGGACCTTCAACAGGAGATAGCTTGTGTTTGTTAAACACACTTCAGAACAAGTTAGAGAAATGATTTACAGGCATCCTGCCCGAGATTTCTCACTGTATTACACTGAGCACAGCGTTACAATTAGATCCTGAGCAGCACTGAAGATAACGTTTCGAATATTTCTATTACTTTTTCTTCTGCCAACTGAAATATACTGGGAAACCTTACTCATATTACCTTTAAAACACATTCTGCAGAAATGTAAACAAAAAACCCCAAACTATTAGGTAACTGCAGAGGATCTGCCATAGCCCATAATCCCGGGTGTGCTTTTACTGATAAAGCTCGCCTACAAAACCACAGCACTACCTGACAGAAAATGCCACCTCTGGTCACTCTACAGCAAAGTTTTAACACGAGTGCCTCAAGCCTCCAGACTGCACCCTCACTCATCCCCCAAGCTCTGCTGAGCGAGCCCCCCAGGCACACCCCGCGGCCCGCACCCAGATGTCCCGGGAAGGTGCCGGGCCGCGGGTCCGGGACATCCTCCCGCCGGGATTCCGGCCGGGGCAGCGCCGGAGCGCAGCGCAGCTACCACCCCCGCCCGAGATCCCGGGAGAGGCACGGCCCCGGCCCCGGCCCCTTCCCGCAGCGGCAGCCAGCGCTCCGCGGGGCCGGGGTGCCAGCAGGGCCGGTGGCGAGGGGCGGCAGCTCGCACTGACCCCCCAAGGTCACTGGGGCGCGCCGGAGCCTCGGGCAGCTCACCGGGCGCGAACTCGAGCAGGACGGGCTGGGGGCCGGGGTCGGCTCCGCCCTGCAGGCAGCGCCGCACGGTGCGCGCCAGCTGCGGGCAGGCGATGAAGCGGCGGACCACGAGGCTGCTCCGCTGCTCCTTACGCACCAGCCGCTTCTCCTTCGCCGGCTCCGCTACCCGCAGGGACGGGTACTGCCGCCCCGCCGTCACCCAGCACGGCGACAGCGCACAGAGCAGCGGCCGCAGCCCCGCTGCCAGCAGGCGGCCGCAGCCCGCGGCGCCGAGCGGGGCCCGGCGCGCCAGCATCGCCGCGCCGCCCGCGCCGCGCTTCCAGCTCCGGGAGCGTGATCGCCGCGGTAACCGGGGCGTCACTTCCTCCTCTGCCCGGCCTCTCCAGCGCGCTTCCGCTCCGCCGTCGGAGGGCTCTCCGCCCGCCGCCCGCCCTCTCTATGGTGCCCGCCCCGCACCGCCGGCAGCCTGCGGCAGCACCGGCCCCCGCGCCTCCACGCCATGCCGGCTGGCGGGTCCCGGCCGCCCGAGCCGCCGCGGAGCTGAGGTGAGCTGACAGCGGCTTATCCGCAGCGGGAGGAAGAGGGGAAGATGAGATGCTTCCCCCGGTGCCGCGCACCGCCGCCGCCGCCTTCTGCTCGCGTCGGCCGCCACCGGGCGCTCCAGGGGCGGGTTAGGGCCGCCGGGCGGGCGGCGGGAAGGAGCCGGT